GATTTAATATTTGAATGGAACCACACAAAGTCGAGAGTGGATTCAGGGGAGGCGAAACGCGTAGTAGTTTTCTTTCGTCCGCTCGACGTTTTGTATGTATGTCTTCATGTTTAGTTGTCTTAGTGGTTCCGTCTTATAAACTGAGCGCATTTTCGTGGGTGGGTATTTAATCGCAAAACAATGAACAGACGTTGATAGGTGAGATTTAGTATAAGTTATCCGTACTAGTGTTTTTATCGAGAGAAGAATAATCACACGTTGCAATGTGATTAAGTACGATCGAACTTGAGGTTTTACCTTACGAGTAAAGCGGTCGGGAGGTGGGTGATGTTAGTGTGCGGGGTTACAGCTATAAATCGAGGGAGGTGGGGGTCTATGATTTCGTGCAATTCTTTGGAAAGAGAGATTAAGGTGTGCAACCTTGCCTTATTTGTAATTCTCTCTGCCTAATTATCCGACAACGTACATTGCACATAACGATTGACTAGCGCCTAGCGATCGGATTTAGACAAATCAACAGGCCAACTGGTTTATTGCGTCGAGATACGGGTAACATCTTGTCCTTGTCTTCAACCAGGTGCAAGACCAGTTGGGGTTTTAACACTATCTCTCTCTCTTTGTACAACAGGAATTACCGGTGCGAGATACGAGTGTCGTTCATTAGTTTGCGAGTCTTCCCAAGTACCGCTAGTACATCCGACTGCAAAACAAATCGACAAACGAATTTGATGGCAGGATTTATCGATAAACGGCCGATCGTTTGAGTCCGTACGTTTGTTATTGCACTAAGTCTATTTATCATTTACATTGAGTGGACTGGTGGCACCACACGATAAGAGAGAGTAAGCCAGCAGTACAGAACAAGTCTTAAGTTCGCTGCCTAACTCATTATTCTTGCAGTTGCGGACCTACCCGTTGCGCTGTTTATTAGGGGAGAGAGTAGAGTCTATCTTCTATACTATACCTCTCGCTGGTCGGTTGTTTTAACTGCTAAGAGCTTAAGAGCTAATCAACCAAAACACCAGGTTTAAACATTCCGCGACACTGTGGACTCCGCTCGTGTCCGTTTCGATCGGCGCGTGCTCCCACTCTCCAGCGCTCGCCGCCCTCTCTCTCGCGCACGTCGCAGCGACGCGTGACCTCGTCGCTCAAAATGCTCTCTCTATTATAAAGCGACACGAGGTTTTACAAGTTCACACGCGACGTTAGGCTAAAAGATACGGTTTGTACAAAGGTAACGCTAACGAGTCACTACCTCCGTGTTTATGGTTGGCCGGTATGAGTAACTCGGCGAGAATTGTTGCTGGTGACCCGGACGGAACATAGGAGTTTACGGTCTGAGACACGGGGTGCACCCTCGACCCGACATAACGTCCCACGTTTTGAGTGACGTATAAGACTCACCCAATGTGACCATTTAGGTCCCTGCATTGTCATGTTCATATCATGAGCATTTACATCCGGTCAAAATCCATTAATCGTCACGAATTTGTCCTTAAATAACTTCTGCCCCCGTCGTAACAAATGCGTACACGAGACCCAAATGATGTATACGTTCACATACCGGTTCAGAGTACTTTAGCCGGTTTTCCAACTATAAAATTCATCCCTCGTGGCTATGTGTATAAAGTCGAAGGCTAGGCTAAGGCTATTGATTTAATACCTTAAGACTGGCTATGGCTATGATAAGGCTATAGACGACTTTGTCAGAACTAGAAAGTTCAGAATATGGTCGGTGAACTCAACTATCTTGGTTTCATATGACCCGTCGTCCTTCGTGAATTTATCTCAACATCGGATGATTTGGAGGTTTTATCGGAATCGTAAACTCCTTACTGTACTAGTAGGTAGAATGCACTGTTTGATGTGTCGTCCTAGTCACGGCGGCTTTGGAGTAAAGCTGGTTGACTATTACCAAAAAAAAAACAGTAGTGCTCATGCTACTTCGTCATGGGAAGGGTCAAAAGACATCCGAAAGTGCACAGACACTCTCAAATGGAACAGAAGCTTCCCTCCTATAGGTTGCTAGATGTATCTAACCCTTTATCCTGTCTTTGTCTCCCTCTCAGCACAAGAACCCCAAGGGGATTCAATGGAGCCTGAAGACCTGCAATGAGACCCTTACCCTGAATTGCTGAAAGTGTATAATGTTTAATAAAATGCCGGCTATGTTAATTTAATATTGTTGCCTCTATTTTTTATTATCTTCTACTCCTCATCGAAAGCAACCTTTTACATAGAAGTGTTACATTATTTGGCGAGCTAGCCAGGAGGAGTAGTTTGAATTAAATAATTAGAGAAACATTTTACATTTTTCATACACAGTAATTAGTTCCACCTTTACCAGCATGATAAACGTATCAATACATCAATAATTACAATCAAAACCTATGATATTTGGCTACGAAATGGGCCAATCAGCATAATGAATACTTTTGGTCATTTAAGTATATTTAGAGGCCAATACCTTTTTATTTTATCAGTAGCAGTAACATTGTCAATGCAGGTTCTACTTACACCACTGTACAAAACACTCACTGTTGCTCCAGTAACACACACAAGTAATACAACAACGAATACAGGCTGTTTGGAGGTTTGAACGTTGTTACACCACAGGAGGTTTCATTTATTTTAGACACTGAGAGGGGGTGCACCGTTCCTGGAGGTACTGCAATACCAGGTCGATGCGTGGAGTGGACGGAGCAAGCCCCTATTCCATCTCCCTATTCCAAAAATCAATTTAATATATGGTCCCCGGGTAGGGGACGTATCAGATATTAAACTGATAAGAACAGATACTACACTTGATCTTAGCCAAAAGGCCGAGAAGCGATAACACTGAGCAGTCGAAGGACAAGAAGTCATTCTCTGCACAGTCACCTTCACTCAAGCTTTTAAAATCTGTTTATGTAACAACACACCTTAACGGGAAAGTAACAATGTACAATTAACACAGTGCATTATTAAAACGAGGATAAAACTGCAGCAAATGTCTTTTAACAAAAGTATGTGGTCGCATTTTTAAGCTCTATAGCGCTTCCTGGTCATGTGACACATTCTAGTCCAATAGAAATGTAAAACCTGAGCCACGTTATTTACGGTCAGAGAGAACGCTGTAACTCTCATTTTAAAACGTATTGAAATGTATTATGAACCATAGAAACACAAACAAAGCCTACCTCATATTATAGGTACCGGCAAGTCCTTTCTAAGTAAAGAAAGTAATTTTTGATCAGTTAACTGCCAGTAAAACAAAAAAACGGAGCTATAGCACACTCTCGCGGAGAACAGAGAGAACTGTACTCTGATACTAAACCATTTTAGCAGAAGAGTTATGAGTCATAACTCTTCTACGAAGACTAGAAACAGGAAGAGCCAATGGAAACTTAACACTGCAAGGAAGGTTAGATGCCAAAAAAAGACAAAGATACATCCCCATTGGTCAGACTTAAAAAATAAAAAATATTGCATGTTTTATAACATTAAGCAGCATTTCAAAATAGATAGATTTACAGTAAATGAAACTGTGTTAAGAAATTGAGATTGTGTTGATTGCACTTTTTAAAATGTATATTGGTTGACATTTATTTTTTCATAAGACTATGTATTTCGAATTGTCTATTATTGAACTACCATGTTTGTTATTGCACTACATATTTGTACGTCAAGTAGGACCAAAACACGTCTAATTGTAATCACATGTGTCCTTTTTTTTCGTTGCTTCCTGTTCAGCAAAATACCTGTTAATTTTTTTTCTTAATGAGCAGCAGGAACACATCCATATGCGAGCCTTGAATGCTACTAATTCAATGACTTACTTTGGTGATGCCCCGTGTAGCTCTGGTCCCACCTGGCGGATATAACATGACATCTTATTCGAATTCAACGTCGTTCGAAGTCGCAATTTTAGACAAACTTGACATTCTGTAAATCACAGTGACAATAAAGAAAAGTCGACTATAACGGGTTTGTTCTCTCAACTGCAACTGTATGCACACACGCGTTTAAAAATAAGTGGTTTTAGTTAGCTACGACATTGGTTTGCCAGGCCGCAAACTTACCTAGCATGAAGAAAGTTCACGGCGGACATGACACATTTAGCCACATGAGTCCGAAAAGTTATTCCTGTTGCAGTACACGACGTTTTCCAGAGTGGTATTCTTAAATATGATACAAAGCTGATATATTTACTGATGTATCCTAATGAAGTCGACGACTCGCAGGTGGAGGACTCCGGTGAAAAGTCGCTAACTAGCCGAAGGTAGCAATTGTGTCGCGCCGCAGGTATGCAAATGAAGTTGCCGGATCCCGTTGTTAAAGGCCATACAAATTATCAAACAGTATTGTTTCAAAAAGACGCAACACCTGTAGCTCCATGTTGTCTCTGAAACCTTCTTGGTTGATTTTGGAAACATCCAAAATAAAAATATATTAGAAGGGCCATCAGCAGAAGTAGCGTAGTATGCAGTAGGAGGATCGCGTAGGAAATACTTGCCTGATATCGATAACACTTGGTTGAGGACTGAAACATGGGCCGAGAAAGAACCCATGACATGTTAAGCCTATCCGAATCAAAGGTTAACACTTTAGTTCATTTTCCTCAACATTGTGAGATAAAGTAGGTCTTGGCCTTGACGGAGGCGCGCAACGAGTGCACTTCCGTTTCTACATGTTCTCATCCTCAACTACAGTAGCCTAGTATAGATGGAAGTAGGCCTAGTTAATCTGGCAGAATACATTGTAAACTGGTCGAGGATATAAGGTATAAACATTATTATTTGTACAATATTAAACCATGCTGTCGTGTTTGGTAACTGTCAATACAACTGGGATCATCAATGAAGTCTAACCAAATCTATAATTGTTCAGGATTTATTAAACTTGGATTAAATGCATACATTGGCATGAAATGATGTGTGATCAAGTATTATATTTGTTTTTAAAAGGTTCAGTCTGTCTTTTTCTTCCTGAATAAGTGCTGAAGTCCTCTCATTGCCTATATCTGAAAAGTGAATTTACCAGCCCAGAAAGCACATTCTCACTGCGGAACTAGGAGCCACTTTGCAAGGCTAAGAGGCCCATCTTAAAACTCAAATAATATTGGGAGCTTATTGTGAGTTGCACAAGTTGAATAAAGACACGTGAAGCTAAGGTTTGAACCAGGAGGAACCTGACCTCTTGAAGGAAAGATCATTCACACTGCTGCTCAGAGATTTGCTTTCTAATCGTTGGCTGCATGTTTAGCCAGGTGATCACCGGTTAAGCCTCTGTAATTGAAGGAGGTCAATAGGGGAAGGAAAAACACATGTGTCTTCCACAACAGTCACAACAGAAGCAGAGCACCAGTCAAGGAGGACAAGAAAGGGTCTACTTGTCTCACCATTTAACACGAAGGTATCAAGGTAAGGAAAGACCAGCAAAATAACTAGCTTCTTATTTAGGATGTTGGAGATTAAAGATTAGGATTGAAACAAAGAAGATGCATTCATATTAGAGTATTTTTGTAAACATGATTTCCATCTTCTTGCTAACTTTTGTTCCCCATCCCATAAAAGCGTTTATGAATCTATGAACAATTAAGCATACACACATGTAACCCATGCATTTAGATTTTTGAGTGAATGTTACTATTGAATACTGATTCTGTTTATCCGCAGCATGTCGAAAGCAGCAGAGAGGACAGCCTCTACAACTTCTGCCGACTCTGTCGCATCAGCTACATCCGCCGCATCAGCTGCATCAGCAGCATCAAGGTGAGTTTTACAGACTACCAGTTTTTAAGATGCAGCCATGTTTTGCATATAGCCCTAATTTAAACAGTATAGTTGACATTCCACCAAATGTATAACATGTTAAGTGGGTCCCTCTGATGAGTGGAATGACTTTTACTCATGTTGTTTCAAATCATTGATACGTAAGTATATGCATTACCCCTTTGCTTTTTATTGTTTGATTTGTCCTTATAGTAGCAAAGATGGTTCTACATCGGGCTCGGTCTCAGGAGTACCCAAGAAATCAAAGAAGTCTAAGAAAAACACAGAGAGCATGATCGTAGTCTACAACTCTGTGCTCAACAGCGTTTTTGGGGCGGTAAGTGAACAATCACATGTTGGGGTTTGAATGTGTATAGTATAAATGCAGCATAAATGAAGTATTGCAAATCTTACAAAAGGATAAAATAAGAAAGCGTCTTGGCTGTTAGGGTACCTGACCTTTGTTGGGAACCTGTGATTTTATATACCTTTTTTATTTTCAAACCTAGCTTCCACATGTCATACTTAGACACAATTGTATTGGACAAACGTGTTTAACAGCTGAAGATAAAGCTTTTCCTCACTGATAATTCAAGGCACCTCACACTTTTAATAAAAAACATTATCTGAGAAAGCTTGGGGATTACTTAACGATCTATACTTTTTTAGATCTAAGGGCATAGATTGTTTACAAGACAGAGGAGGCTCTTTGCAATTTAAAGGCACTGCATGTCAGAACTCAACAAATTAGAGTCAGAAGTGAGGTGAAAGTCAGGAGTGTGCTTACAGTTTTAGTGCCTAATCTTTCTCGAGCTGCTATCTCTAAACCCAGTGCGTCTGCAGTAATAATGGCTCATTAGCAGAGGCTTACTGCCACTCTTCATTAAGGTTATCCAAATGAGGAGCACTGGGTGGATTCAACTTGAACATATTTACCTTTTCAATTGCAAAGAAACCAATTTATCTGCAAATTGTCCTCTATGCCTCGATTTCAATTTCACTTTTTCTGCAGGAGAGAGAATTGGCTCAAGCTGAGTTGGATGGTAAGTGTCCATATTATCAATTACAGCCATTATATTTGCAGTTTAAGTAATATAAAAAAGCTTTAAAACCTCCATTATTTAATCTGATAAACCACTGCTAAAGCTATTCTACTCAATTTATAACACCTGACCGTTCTGTTCAGAGTTGCAAGAGGCTTTCAAAGAGTTTGACTATGATCAAGATGGCTACCTGAACTACAAGGATGTGGCTGAATGCATGAGGACTATGGGATACATGCCCACAGAGATGGAGCTGCTGGAGATAGTCCAACAGATCAAGATGAGAAGTGAGCCAAAAACACATCAATTAAAAGAAAATGACAACCGATACATATGCAAACAAAATGGCTTGAAAACCTGCGTCTCTCCACAGTGGGCGGGTTGATGGATTTTGAGGACTTTATTGAGCTGATGGGACCCAGGATGATGGGAGAGACTGCTAACATGCTGGGACTCAAGGAGCTCCAGTCCGCCTTTTTACAGGTGAGTCAACTGAATTAGATACATTACAACAAATGGAATTGTATTGTAATTGTACTGAGAGTTAAAGTAAAAGCAAAGTATTTTCGTTGTTTTTAAAAGTTTGACCTTGATGGAGATGGAAGGATCACCCAGGACGAGATGAAGGAGGCGATTAAGACGATGCTTGGGGAGAAGCTGAAGAAAGGAGAGCTGGAGGAGATCTTAAAGGAGCTGGACATTAACGCAGATGGAACCATCGACTTTGAAGGTGAGAATAAGATGTATTGAGCAGTAGTGCGTGTTCTTCTTAATCGTATATTTCATTTCATGCATTTCTGCTAAACATAGTGTTTTTGCGATATGTCAGATAACTCAGCACTGACCCAACTTTCTGTTTTGTCTTGTCTCTCCTCTTCAGAGTTTGTGATGATGCTCTCTATTCGCTAGCTGCTACAAGAGAAGGGATACACTCCTGAATTACTCCATATACAGTTAACATAACTATGAGCCAATATTGCGAGTTTGTCAATGTTTGTAATGTTGGTATAGACATCTACATAATGTGTGCCTCACTCTGTAATAATTGTATGAATGATGGATTGTAAAAGGAGTTGGAAAGATGCTGCGCGACTGCATCAGATGTGGAGCATGCTGTTTTGCAGGGTTATAATATGTAAATAAGTTATAATATGTTTTGCTATTTTAATAAAGAAATGTAAATGAGTTTTGAAAATGTTCCTTTCAATTAAACAACACAAAACTTTTGTAATATACAACATAGCATATCATTAAGAGACGCATCACATTTAAACCTCTCAAACAGACTTTATTCCAAAAACTAGTCTTTGTATTACCTTCAGGTCATTGTCAAACAACAAAATGGTGGTGATAAATGAATAATAACATCTTCTACAGAATATAAGCTACATTCATGTCACTTGTCAAGTTAATAACAATGCAGCTTTGAGCTTTGTCAGGTTTACTGTCTTTAGAATTTGAAAAAACATGTGCGGAAAGAAAAGTCACATTTCAGAATCAAATCTGGCCTACATTATCTGGTACCCATAGAGCCAATAATAAGCAAACTTATCTCCTATTTGAATATCTTAAAGCTTATAACTACTGGTAACCTAATCTGCTTCTCATTAAAACAATACATTATCACTATGTTCACGATTAAGAAATATCTGCAACATGCAGTACATGTTACCGGGTAAAATGAAGGTCTCGTTGTCAGATAAAGAACAGAACAGATTATAAAGGATTATACTTAAATCTGTGTTTCTGAGGAAAAGAGATCCATGATCTCAAGTCTCTGTGTGTCAATTTGCTATTCAAATTCCCCATTGTCTCCTGCTGTACTTGCATTGCCATGATGCACCTCTACTAAAAACAACTGATACAGCAGACTCTGTGTCAGCATGCATGTGCTAAAATGGAACAACTAACAATGTTCATTTAGGCATATACAAAAAATGTATAGTTTAATTAAGTTTAGTTCTAAACTACCTACTGGTCTTTGTACCGTATGCCTGTCTCCCATAATTAGTCTATTTCTTCTCCTTTTATGGGAATGTTTGCTCTGACTTTTGGAAAACGTTTTCAGAAATACCATCCAAATAGCAGATTCTGTAAACAAATGTATAAGTCCTCCAAGCAAGAGAAGAGTTACTTTGAACTTATTGTGCGCATGTTGCCCCCATTGGCAGGGTTGAGGGGTATTCAGGCATCCTTGGAATGACTCACACTGAAACTGGATAAACTCAAAGCACTGTTGCTCTGGATGAAGCCCATATCCAGTGGTATATAGTACTGTATGTAGTCTCACTTACACAACACTGTGAGGGAATCATAGATAGATTCAGCAATTTGTTTGTGTATGTTTTGAGAATGTGTGGCCAACATCATGCATAGGTGTATTGTCCAAAGGTCAAACTGCAGTCACTCAAAATCACGTCACAACATCCTTCGATGTACATCCTGAAAAAACGCACCTCCCCTTCTTTCTGGCACTTCCAGTCACTACATTCCATCAGACCTTTCTATCTTCTTGTACCTTCTTCATTTTTCCTTGCTTTCCTCTTTCAGTCCCTTTACATGTTAGACTGATGGATAAAGATGGATACGTCTCTATCCATATCTCCCAGTATCTTGTGTGACAGGACAACTGCTAGGCTAGTACACTCTCGATGACCTTTTGATCTACGGCTCGTTGGTCAGCTCATCAGCAAATTCAGCCATGATGTCATGCACCCAGACGTCCTTTTCTTCCTGTGAAGTGTCCACCAGGAAGACCATCAATTTCCTGTCCCACGGGTTAGGGGCTTCCTGCAAGCACTCCAGCTGGGCCACCAGTGGTTTCTTCTCCACGTGGTTCCTGAAAACAATGGAAGCTTCCTCCGACCACTGCCTCGGCTTCAATCCTGCCGGAGAAAAAGTTTGAAGGTATAGCTTACTTTTATTGAAATATTCAAACATACATTCAAGAAGAGCCTGACTTACTATACACTGGAAATATTGGGGTTGAGGAGGATGAGTTAGCTAGCAGTAAAGTAGTAAGAATAGGGCAGTTACTAAAAAAATGTATTTCTTAAACGCGCGTGATCCTAACTAAAGCTAATGTAACAACCATCTGTCGAGGTGAGGCGAGGTGTGGACGTCCTCTCTACTCACCAGCCAGCTGAGCGGTGATCCCCTGGAACGGCAGCTGTCTGAACTCTTTGATCAGAGGTCTGAGCTGTGTGCAGCTGACCAGCTCATGTTTACCATAGTCCAACTCGTACACAGACACCAAGCCCTTCGTCAGGACCCCCTTCACTAACACACGATGCCAGCTGAGAGGAGAGAGGAGGAAGAGCAGATATGTACAGTATATTTAGGCCTGTTACTGAATATCCACTACAGACAAAAAAAGACAGAAGGGAACACAAAGAGTAATTCACCTGTTCTCCACTTTAGCGGCGTATATGTGATTCTTCTCTATGTTGAGGGGTTTCTCCTCAGTCTTGTTGTAGTAGAGAATCATCTCTCCCATCAGCACCACCAGTTTGTACATATCTCTCCAGGGCTGCAGCACAAAGTGGCCCGGATGGCACGCCACCGATACATAGACGTCTAGGTTGTTACCTGAGAAGAAAAAGTGTTCACATGTAAACACTTAATTTTCTAGGGAACAGACAAAAATGCCCATATCTTTTTACCTGCAGGGGGCAGCTCTAGTAATGGTGGGAGATGTTGAGACATAGAAGGTGGGGATGGTGTCTCTGGTTGGCTGCTGGTCGTGTTGCCTCCTGCTCCTCCTCTTGGTCCTAACAGAGCCCTCCTGACTTGAAGCTTGGCTGGGACAGTAGTTGACGTTGGACTCCCGTTAGTGCAGTGACTGTTGCTGGGGGGCTTTGAGGATAACGTGGCTGTGGAGATCTTGGCAGAGCTGTGAAAAGAAATGATCAACCAAGAAATGTAGGGGCAAATTCACATAGAATGGATTGCGCCCCGCTGAAATCACCATGATTTTTCAAGATGATAACTTGCAATGCCATCTACACTGTGCTTTTAATGAATATGTGCTCGATAGTGAGGTGAACAAAGACCTGAGGCTCGTCAGGAACACATCTGGCTTTTGTTTGAACAGGTCGGACTGGGCCATCTGATGGTTGAGGCTGCGGGCCGGGTCATGGAAGTTCTTGTCGGTGAAAAGGTGGACGTAGACGCAGCGCTTGCTTTCATCTACCTTGGCAACCTTGGTGGGAAAGTCAATTGTTAGTGTGGACCATTAGGAAGGAGAAAACCAGAGGCACGAATGAATGAAGGCCTTACTTATTAATAATATCATAATAGCATTTCATTACCTTCATACTACAGTCTGTGGTGTTGAGCACTTTCTCTCGAAGCCATTGGACAGCATCTGGAGTCCAGGATCCCACACTGACAGCCAGGTCTGCCAGGCAGCACTTCACAGCCTAAACACAGGTTGCTGGATGTCATTTTCCCAAATATTATGTTGGACTGTAAAACAGTACAGTGTCGCTACAACAGAACAAACAAAAGAGTCCTCTGTCGTTTCTGTTTTTCACATTTCGATGCTCACCTGTGGGGGGATGGCCATGAGGTCACGGAGGAACAGAGGAGGGATCTCTCTCAGCTCAAACACCTCTACAGAAGCCTGGACGCCCACATCAATGAACATGATGTCCAGCACTCTGCTGCCGTGCAGGTTGGTGATCTGAAGACAGAAACAGACAGTTAAAGAAAACAACCCACTGACTTTTAAATAGACTTTTACTGCTAAAATGCAAGGAACATATTCCCTCTTTTCAAGCAAGGGATAAAATACTTTCTAAATCATTTGACTTTAAAGAAAATAGCTTTTCCTTATTCTACATGACCATATTCTACAAATAATAAGCCATTAGTTCAGAGTTTTTCCTCAATAACCCTCTAATTAGTGCTTATTTATTGCAAGTAAGGAAGTTGTTGTACATGAGTTTTGGTCTTAATATGCTCTGCTCAATATGGGCCTAATAAGGCAGCAGTACCACAAGAATAGTGATTCTCCCAAAATAACACTTAACAAATATGATCTATTCTTACGTAACAAGCATGGTAACAAGACATGAAACTATAAGTGTTAATTGTGTCTAAATAACTCAAAATTAGGTATTTATATCTAAGAATATGTTTTGGGGTATTGCAAGGTGATATTCACCTGTATGTTTCATATTTGCACATTTATATATTTGTAAAATGTGTACTGAAGGTCAGACAGGGAAACCGGGCCTTATTAGGCCCATATTGAGCAGAGCATATTAAGACCAAAACTCATGTACAACAACTTCCTTACTTGCAATAAATAAGCACTAATTAGAGGGTTATTGAGGAAAAACCCTGAACTAATGGCTTATTACTTGTAGAATATGGTCATGCAGAATAAGGCATTAATAAGTGTTTTATAATGACTAATAAAGAGCCAATATACTGCTAATATGCATGTTAATTAACAACTAGTTGAAGGTTAATTTGTGTACCTTAATATAAAGTGTTACCCAGAAGTGTTATGCTATATGGCCGACAGCGCAGTATTTTGCATCTCTTCCATCTCTGCTCTCAGGGTAATTAAATCTGCCTTTATTGTAAAATTGTGATGTATTTGTGTCAGGCCAACATCAAATCATATGTATATTTGTTCATCTATTCAGTCTTTGCTTCTTACCTCTATGCGGGACCATTTTCCTTTGTAGCGAGCCAGACATCCTTTCCCACAGAAGGGTCTGGATACCAGGAACTCTGATGTTACCTTGAACATCAAGAAGAAAATAACATTAGATTTGTCTTTTCAATCTTGTGGTACTCCCTTTTAGATTGGTGAGGTGAGTATTTGTGACTGCTGCTTTACGACTTCAATGAGAATAATACTTTAAAAGCTCTCACAAACATTTCACAGGTCCACCCAATCTGCTGCAGGTGTACACTGCAATGACATCAACGATTAAGACTTTAGATCTGTGCTCACCATCATGGAAAGAGGTCGTCTAGGTTTTAAGAAATTAAAGTGGAATAAATTAAGAAGTAGTTAATCATATCTTCATTTTACTCCAACAGTTGTATAATAGCACCAAAGTTACCAATACCAGGGGAGATATCCTAACAAATAAATAATATACATTTTCCCAGCCCACTACCAAACTGGATATTCAATTGTGAACGTTATTCTCTGAATTTCCTTCCAACTAGAAAATAACAACAACGTTTTCCACTTCAAAATAAT